CTATAAGATTCAACTGCTTCTAATCTTTCTATACTTACATACTCTCTACTTTTTCTAAAAAATAAAATATATACTTATACAAATTAATCAATTATAGCAATACATTTATTAAATATACAATTTACAAGAAATGAAGATATACTTTAGCCTAAACCTTATAAGATAAAAGGTACCTCTATCAATAAACTCCTATTTGATTATCTTAAAGCCTATATATAAACAACAACTAAATCAATAAAAATATATTATATTGAATAATTCTTTAATTACATAAATAATGAACTTCTGAACTAGACTAATATACATTATAACTTTCTTAAAATTCTATGAGAATACATATTTTAATAGTTTATAGAGATACAACAACTCATTAGATCCTCAGAAAATATTATAGCTACTCTTATATATCCTAATTCTTTTACTTTAACAAAATAGGTTTTTAAAAAAAAATCTTGGGTTCTTACTTAGAATAACTATATAGACAAAACTAACAACTTTAATGAGATGAAAGCATCTATATACCATTATATACTATCATCTAATAATATATTATCTTCTTGTTTTGGATACAACATTAAGGATCCTAAATTAAAGACAAAAAGCTGCTATTTCTAATACGATATTAATAAGTTATTACAAGTTAACTCAAAAAAGATTCTACATGCTAACTTTGATAACTTAATGCTTATATATATAACAACTGAAAACAGAATTATACGCAATAAGCTTCAAACAAACATACAACTACTATGATCTTTAAATGCATTTTCTTCTTTCCTACTACATATATAGAATAAGCTCTTAAAAAATAATACTAAAGTTAACAATATACATATATTTATATCCACATATCCTTACTCATCATACAATAACAACTAACCTTTAGCAACTTGTTTGCTCTCTAATTCTTCAACAACTTAGAGAATCTTCAACAAATCTTGACCAGATATTACTTAAGTCTGTTTTACTCTATTTGCTTTTATAATTACAGCTTTCTTACCTAATAGCAACTTAATAATTTTATCAAATAACATACTTTTTCTAAAGTTAATTAAAAATACTTTAAATACTCCAATATACAGACTACTTTTTTTAAACAAAAAACACTATACTTTCATTCTCTTTATAATTAAAGCTATCAGTATCTCACTTAACATAATCTTATTTAATTTAGACAAAAACTTAAAATACAATTTCAAACCAGATCATCTTTTTGAACTTAACATTATTCCTTAACAATTTTATACAACAGATTTATTCTTTGCTTACTTTAAACTCCTTATATATACTATCTCTATTCAATTATCAAAGATAACTTCAAGATAATTAATAGTTTTACTTGAGCTAAACAAAATAGAATTCACAAATAGTCCTATAGCAGAGGAAATACTTAGTAGCCTTCTATCTTAGCTTATATTTCTTTTAAAAAATATCTTTTATCTTTAAGTACTAACCCTAACTTCTCCAAATTAAAAAACTTTGAAGTTAAACTATTAGCAAATGAGTTATCTATCTACTCAACTTTACATTCCAGAAATTCAAAATATAATAATTATCTTTACTCATACAGCCTATTGTTATCTAAAGATAGTACTCACCTTATCTCTTACTTAAGAAATACTACTACAATAGATAGTATAATAAGAGATACAATATCAGCAATTTTAGAAGAACTTCAAATTTCTTCTACTCATATTAGCGAATTTATTTCTGCTTTCAAACAGATTTATATACAACAAGAATTCTTACTTGATTTCATAACAGATACACTAGCTCAATTTAAAGATATATAGACAAAACAAAATATACTACACTACTATATTATCTTATTATAAAACTTATATATCATAAAATTTAGTTATCTTTAAGACAAATAACATATTCTTCAATTTTTCCTACTTCAGATTTACTTCTAATAACAATATATACTCAAACTACTGCTATATTCCTGAACTTTATCTTAAACAAAATAGCTCAATATATTAAGAATAGATATTCTTCTATTCCTTTAATATACGAAGACTAGAGGTCTACAATCTTTCTAGTATAGCTTAGGTTAAGAGTAAATTAGCTCTTACCCTACCTCCCCATTTTCAATTAACTATATATATACTTGTAATATTATATATTCTTTTATTGATATTAATAAAGAGTTAGAGGATAGATCTCGTTATCAAAAAAAAAAAAAAAAAAAACTAATTAAGTATATGAGCTATATATCTATAATGACAAAAATTATTAAAAATTAATTTTTCTTGTAAAAAATTTGTAGCAAAAATCATATTAGCAGCATTATTAGTTGTTAATGCAATAACTTTAGTTTCAATTTGAAATTTTTCAAATAAATTATAAATTTTATCAGCAATAAGTTGTTTAGTATAAAAACCTTTAAACTGAAATATATCTAATATATAATATTGTAATTTTCAATTGTAGTCAATAAAATAAATAGTAATAGCTAAAAAAATTTTCATTTTTAAAGAAGTCTAAAAATCAGTTGTAAGAACAACAGAATTTGAAATTTCACTAAAATAATTTTTTACTAAATTTCTTTGTTGATTAAATTGATTAATAACTAAATAATGAATAGTTTTACGAGTAAGAATTTAATAAAATAGATCTAATTTTTGAATCATATTATAAAAAGCTTTTTCTTCTACTACTTTAAATAGTTTAAGAGATAAAATAATCTAGTTAAAAATTGCTTGAGTTTTTTCTGCTTAAATTGTTGCTGAATATTTTTTAAGACTAAGATTTAATTTTTTTTAATCTAATAATAATTTATATATATATTGTAAATAATTATGAATAGAGGTAGTTGATATTGCTAGTTTAAATATTTTAGAATATTAAGAGTATTTACAAGTTTGTTTATCAAGGTCTGGCGATCTAATGTAGTGAATAGGTTGTCAGATTACTATGAAAGAGGTCTAGGGTTCAAATCTTATTGTCAACAGAATTGAATAATTACCTAGACATCTGTACTCAACTTACTGTAAACTCTGTTCGTTTCTGGGGTTGTAACTCTGTAAATCATGTTGCACTAATATTGTTTGGATATTAGAAGTGTAACAGAATATTGGAGTTGCATTACATGAATAAATCGAGATAGGATCTACAGGCAGAGGACCTGCATAGTAGAAATCTCAAGTTAGATAAAGTAGTATAGATTTCAATGCTCATGCTAGTTAACGCTTAATCCGACAAGGATTTCTGAATACGAATTGAGTAAATGCAAGTAAGTTCACAGTATAACATAGCCTGATGCCTTGCATTTAGTGGCTATACCAACTTGGCTTGGCGGCTAACTAGATTGAGAGGATCTACCTTGTGAAACATTTAGAAGTCTAAACTAGTGGAAGGCTACAGCTAGAACTGGGTTTGTATGAACATCGAATAAGGGTATATGCAAGCTAGATTGGAATATAGTGTAGCATAGTTGAGTCTGTAACACCTATTTGTTAGGAGGCATTGAAGTTGAACTTATATAGGTAAGACTTAGGCTCATAACAATAAAGTTTACGACTAATATCAGCTTGGGTGCCTCCCAAAATGAAGTAGCACAGAGTTTATGGTTAACTATAAAGAGTAATATTTGTAACAAGTGAGGTAGGGCCAGAGAGTTTAAATAGGGAATCTTCTAAAAGATTTCAGATATAGCAGCTAGTGTAGAATCTTCGAGTGGACTACTTAAAATAGATAATTTAAAATTGTATGTGTGGCTAGTTGTACTCTCACAATATATATCACTTCTGGAATATATAAAATTAATAAAGTTTAGCTGATAGCATTTGTATAAAGTAAAAAAAAAAAAAAAAAAAAAAAAAAAAAAAAAAAAAAATTATTATCCTTGTAAATTATAAAAAAAGGAATAAAAAGAAAAAAAAGGGGTTAAAAAA